CTAAGTGCCACTCAGAACTTTCATGCTTCAGTTGGCTCAAGCGTCCAGTTTGTCCTCCAGACCGCACAGCTTCCCAGTCCTTCAGCATGGCCGCTGGCTCCCCCGTGAATGCTTCTGAACTTCCCCTCGACTTGGTGAGCCCCTCAGTTGAAGTGGATGCACCCTTGGATGACAGGGACATTGAACTGGTGCAGACCACTTTTGAGAAGGTTGCAGCCCTTGGACCTGAAGCAGCTGGACGTGTCCTCTTTGGCCACATCTTCCGCATCGCGCCTGAGGCAAAAGAGCTTTTTCCGTTTGCCAAAGATGAGGAAACCATGTGGCTGCCAGGAAGCAGGCTGGAGAAGCATGGTGCCAGGGTGGTAAGCACAGTGGCTACAGCAGTGTCCTTGTTGAAAGATCTGGATACTTTGGTGCCAGTCTTGCAAACGTTGGGCTTGAAGCACGTGGGCTACAAAGTGCTTCCACCCCACTACGAGATCGTTGGCCAGGCATTCATTGCAACTTTGGATGATGCTTTGCAAACGGAGTTCACTGAGGCTGTGAAGAATGCATACCTCAAAGTCTGGAAGATCGTGCAGGCAACGATGATCGGCGACAACTACGCAAAGTGAGCCTGACTGGGGCCTGATGAGGCCTGAGGCTTGGGTGAGCAAGTGCAGCTGCGCAAGTTGTTGCAAAGCTGCATTCGAGGGTGGCAGAAGAGGCCACGACTTTCAAGTCACCCCAGCCACTTTTGGTCTCAAGTTCAGATTCATTCTTTCTCTGGGAGACAGAGCATTGGTTTTGCTTGATGCTGTCTCTTCCCGAGCGATGGTCGAAGACCTCGCAGGCAAGAGTCACCGTCCAGATTTGAAGAATCATCGCCCAGATTAGAAGACATCATGCGGAAAAGAATGTGGAGCGGGGAGTGAACTTATGCAGCTAACCCAGATCTGTTTCGTTTTGCCTGTACAAGCGACGATACAAGTGAATCTAAGCAGCTTGATTCATGGACCGGATGCAGAGTCGCAGATGATTTGGAAGTTGCCTAAGTCTAAGTGCCACTCAGAACTTTCATGCTTCAGTTGGCTCAAGCGTCCA